CTGGTGCTGAAATTCTACTCTTGCCTTCACAGAGAGGGAGGGAAAATACATTGATGCTTTGTGTGTGCAAGGGTTCTGACCTGCTCAAGCCCTTGAGAATTTTGCTGAAAAGTTAATACATGTGTTGCTGAGTGTAAAGGTTCTGATCTGCTCTGGACCTTGTGAATTTTGCTGAATAAAGATGCTGTTGTGGTGGGACTGGGTGGTTCTGCCAATGGGGGCATGCTAGCATTGGCTTGCGTGCCTGTGTGTGTGAGAGTGGGTTTTGGGATTGCTGACCTGAGGGTGGGTCCCTTATCCATTCCAGAGTCTGTCAGTGTCCCTACGATGCTGACTGTCTTATGAGGTTGGGGAGAAGACCAGCCTGTTCTCATGATGTAGGATGTGTCTTGTGTATGGCTGGGATAGAGCCAAAATGTGCCTTTGTGTGGCGGGAAATAGCCAACTGATTTTAACCACCTTGTATCAGAATTGCTAGGATGTGCAATTTGGGATTTTCCTTTTGAGAATGTTCTAACCTATTTTTCCCTGTAAACCTGAAAGTAAGAGCTGGAGGAGGAATTGAAAGTTTAAGAATGAGTCTGTTCTGTTATTGCTTTCTGTAATGAACTGTGATTAACCTGCTATTTGCTTTCTGTATTCTGAACTATGTTCTGATTTAGTTTTCCTTTTTGTAACCTGGAAATGTTTTAAGCTGTGCCTGGAGGGAAGATGAAACCTTCATGAGTTGTATTGAGTTGGGTTATGCTTGTATTCCTATGCTTGGTTTGTATTCATTATGTACTGATGTATTCTGTGTTTGCTGACCTGTGTTATAATTCCTGTTATCCTCACATGTGTGCATGTGGATGAAAATTGAGGTATCAGTCCCCGAATTTTCATCCTAAGGGGGAGGGTGTATAGAAATATTAATTCCTGTAGGCCTCATGTCTCCCTTTGAATGTTATGTAGCATCATGTTTCCCCTTGGAATGCCTTTTGCTCTCACCCCCTGGTGTTCTAGCTTCCTATGCCTGACCATTTGCTCAATTGCCCTGTCATATAACGACACATGTTTCACACTTCTGGCAGACCTACTGGAGCCTAGTTAGGCCTAGCTGCCAGGAGTCACGTACCACATGGAGGAGTGGTTAGAGGGAGTGGTTAGAGCTTGGGATCACATTCTGCAGGTGTGGCTTCAATACTACTGACCACTCAAGACACTTGGACAATTTCAGATCGTGTTCATTGGCTCCTGGCCCGGGTCATTTGAATCCTGAAATTGGCCCTTATTAGTCTGAACCCAAAGACACGAGCTCAGATTTTCTGCTTGCTAATCTGTTCTTGCTATCTACTGTCTGTGGACTTATTCTGACATGCTTTGTTTCTGCCATGTGGCTGGCAGACAAAGGATCCTGGGTTGCAGCTCAACACATGGCTGCATACTGGCACAAAGATGAAACTTAAGTGGACTTTGTTAAAATGGACTGCCTTGGACTATTGACCCTTCTTCTTGTTGGTAAATATACCCTATTGTATAGTTAGGCAACAAACTTGCATAGCCTTTCTTATTTTTCTAATCTCCTATGGTCTGATTACAAGTTTCTGCTAATAAACTTTATTCTGTTTTAATACTGTGTCTGATGGATGTACCTTTGACTCCAAGCCTTAAATCCTGTGCTTGAACTGCTTTGCCAACTGTTGCTACCTTGCTAAGAATATTCTTGTGATAAGTCCCAAAAGCCAGTCAAGAGTCTGAGCCTCCTCTTGGACTGGAAGGGGATCGTAGTGGAAGGTTCTGGTGGCACATGTCTGTAAATCCATAGAGAGACTACCTCTCTTGGGTTTTGGTGTAAACTACTTTGTCTCAGTCCATGATCCTTTCCTTTCACAGTCCTGGATTGGTCTGGGGGAAAGACAGGATCATGACAAACACTATTTCCGGGGCAGTGATGCTCTGTATTCTTGGTGCCTGAGGGGCAACAGTGGGAGGACTTCTAGTGTCCTGGCCCAAATGGTGGACCTCCTGATGGCACCTGGGTTTTGGCCACTGTGTGACACAAGAGTGTTGGACTGGATGGGCCGTTAGCCTGATCCAGCATGGCTTCTCTTATGTTCTTAAGATCTTGTCAGATCTCTGAAACTAAGTAGGGTCTTTCAGAGCTGTTCTCTCATGAGCAGTTCTCGAAAGAGCTCTCTCAGCCCCACCTACCTCACAGGGTTTCTGCTGTGGGGAGGGGAAGCGACAGGAGATTGTAAACCACTCGGAGACTCCTTCGGGTAGTGAAGGGCGGGGTATAAACCCAATCTTCTTCTTCTTTCCCTCCTCCTTCCCTGGTTAGTACTAGGAAGGCAGACCCCCAAGGAAGGCTCTACAGAGGAAGGCAATGGCAAACCACCTCTGCTTCTCACTTGCCTTGAAAGCCCTTTGCTGGGGTAGCCATAAGTTGGCAGTTACACAGAAACAGATCTTGATGTTGCCAAATTTGGCAGTCATTACTTTACTCAGAAAATGAATTTGTCCCAATTATAACTGTCAGCTGTGTTACAAATGGAACATTTTCCCTATAAGTTTTTTTCAGGCTCAAAAAGCAACGTGAGACTCTGCCACACCTATAAACTAGGAGGGCCAAAACATGGCTGGGGAGAGGATATAAAGGGTATATTTATCGGGTGGTGGGGGAGTTTACCTGGGAATGCAAATCCCTTTACTATGAGCCTGCTTCAGCTGTGGGGGCAGGGTAGAAATTTTGAATAATAAATAAATACATAAATAAATAAATGACCTGGTTAACTTGTCTCATTTCAGAAACAGTTTCTTCCCCCCTTTTCATGACTCATGACATATGTATGGGAATGGCGGAGATTACAAGTTTGTACTGGGCACAGAGAAATTCCTCTTGTTTTCTGTTTGGTAGGCTTGTGTGGAAAGCCACATTTCATGAGGGAGAGCCTATCATGGAAGAGCTAAGCAACTCACACAACAAATGAATGTATTTCTGTTTTGTGTCAAAGTACCTTTTTGTTCAAGTCACACACGCTAATCAGAGCTTTTGTAAAAGACATCTTCAGGAAACTGTGTGTGCAGGCACAGGGAAACTCCAGGGACTCAGGGAGCTGTGCAATCCCTGAGCTTGTCTGACTTAGCTCTGGGAAGATCCTGATGTAGATAACTTGCAATCTACATTTCTTCACAGAGTCTCTGTCAGCCTTTGCCTTTGAGAATCTCAATGGCAATACCAACGAACAACTTTCTCCCGCAAAGCGTCATCATTAAATGCCAATTAGACGCTCGTCCTACAGCTCAAATAGTAAAAGCATCTAATGCTATGGAAGAACACTAATGTCAGGAGAGGCCATGTACATATATTTCCTTAAAAATGCACAATAAATGGAAAAAAAGCCCTAGTACAAATATAAAAGAAAAGTGCAGCAACCTTTTGTTTTAAAACTGAATGCACACTCACAAAAATCCACTCCATCTAACCAAACTCTCAAGACACCTTATTCTGTAACTGGAGCGGAGTGTATAACTATCATAGCACCACAATAAGAAATATCTACTAGTGTCACATCTCATTTTTTTTTAATTCTTGAAAAAGTGTAATATTTTGATGAACATTTTAAATATTCATTGATTTCAATTTAAGACCATGGGCTTTACAATTTGAATTGGAACAACAGCTTTTAATTCTTTTTCCCCCATGTGAAGTGTAGGCATAAGAAATGTGAAACCTGGCAAACATTTTATATCTTTGTTGTTGTTGTTGTTTCTAAAAACAGAACCAAAAAGAACACGATCCCCACCGAAATGCAGTCCCTGGACAGAGAGATTCCAGACATTGTCCTCCAGTTTTGTTCTAGAAGAATCAGATGTGGGCATGTCGCTATTGCTCCGTGACATAAAGCTAATGTCCATCCCTTTATGTCTGTTTCCCTTAGCTCTGTCGCAGCAGTCATTTCCACTTGAAATGGTAAAGAGTTTCAATAGGCACTTTAGTGGAATTAAAAAAAATCCTACAGCTCTTCCACCGTGATGCCGGAAAGCTATCTTCTTCTCCATTCTACATTGTTGTATTGATAAATTGTAGCTACGAGGCCTGAGATTGTCTCAGAGTGACTCCAAAGTAACAATAAAAAAGATCAACCAACAAAAGTAGTAGAAAGTCGAGGATGATCTGTTCTCCCGACAAACAGGTTAAACCAAAATGGACAATATGATAAATACAGGGACTCGCTGGAAACTGCTGCTATCTCTTATAATCAAAGGAATCTTGTCCTATAAAGCTTGTTTATTTTTTCAATTTTCTGTAGATTTACTTTTTTTGCCTTCCCTCCCACTCGAGCTAAGTGACTTTATCGGGGTTATAACTTTCTTCTTCTCCAAACATGTCTGCTAGGACTTTAAAGCGTGGCCCCCAGTCACTCAGATAGTCATAATCCTGGTCTGCTTCTGTCGCAAGAGAATCGATGGAGCTGAGGGACTCAGCCACTGATCCATTCCCTTCGTAAGCATATGTCGCTAGAGAGTCATAAGGGGGTGCGGAGGGGTCCCCGTCGTTTTCTCGCAGCCGTTGATTTATGAAATCTCTGATGTTTGTGTTGTCCTCTGCAGGTGGTTTCGAACGAGGCAAGCGGAGAGCCTCTGGCTTTATGTCCCTGCGTATTTTGTTATCCTCAACCGCTTTCGGATTCCTCAGGGCCCCGATGTCAAAAGCTTGAGTGTCCTCCTCACCACCTCCTTCATCGTCATAATGGATGACGTTGTCCCGGATGTCTTCCTTAGAGGTCATGAGGGTGTCTTTCTTCTTCTGCCGTCTCAGCGCCACATACAGGACGACGATGACTAGGAGAAGAGCAGGATTGTAAATTATGTACAGAAAGACACTGACTCTTTGAACAATAAAATGCCACATTGATCTCTGGTACTGAAGAACTACAGGGGCGAATTCACAGATTACTTTTGGATTCAGGTATAAAAAGGCACTTTTTGACTAGAAGAAGAGCAGGATTGTAAATTATGTACAGAAAGACACTGACTCTTTGAACAATAAAATGCCACATTGATCTCTGGTACTGAAGAACTACAGGGGCGAATTCACAGATCACTTTTGGATTCAGGTATAAAAAGGCACTTTTAAAAATACAGCAAACCTCTGGATACCAATGCTGGGAGGCAGCGTCATGGGAAGGCCCGGCCTCTATGCCCTATTGGTTGGCTGTGCTGTGAAATGTGACACAGGATGCTGGACTAGATGGACCGTGTGTCTAATCCAGCAGGGTTCTTCTTAAGTGATCTGTGATTAATGCAGGGAACCCGTCCCCCCCACACACACATATAAAAAAAACCTTTATGAGAGTTATACATAAAGTAAATTTTAGTAAAATGGAATGGTCCACAAAAGTGCTTCAATAAAGAGAATAGAACTGTAGTTTATTACACTATTTTAATATATACCACACTGTTTTCACTGCATTGTTTTTGGTTTTGCTGCATTGTTCAAGTATATCTTTTACTGGGTTTTTTTTTTGGTTGCATTGCTTTTGTATTTTATAATCCGCCTTGAGTCTCAGCAAGAAAGGCAGGCTATAAAGTAAATACACAAATATTCTACCAATACGAGGGCATTTTGGCTGTCAGGAGTGGCGGTGGCTGATTCCTGTGCTCCCACTACAGAATCCCCACACTGCTGGAGTGAGCAACTCAGCATGCCTGGATATTGGGGGGCTGGGGAGGGGGGCTACATCACTCTTTAAATGTGTACAGGTGTTATCTCCTTGAATGGGATGCCTCTCTTTGGGTTCTTCCGCATTCTGATTTTCATCACTTGTGTGTTCCTATCGCTTCAGGGTCCGTCCCCTTCCCCCCACCAAGTGTGTTGTGCTATCTCTAGTAGTTCCAAAGGGAGCAAAACACATGTGGAAAAGGGGGGAGGGGACACACCAAAGCAATAGGGACAAAGGAGTGACAAAAATCAGAATGCAGAAGAGCCCTTTGTCTTAACCTGGGAGCTACCCTCTGGCCTCTCCTCTCTGTCCCTTTCTCTTCTCCTTCTCTGCACATGGCCTTCCCTGGAGACACATGTCTCTCCTGTAGAGACAATGCCCTCCTACTCCCACACACATGATGCAGGACAAGCTGGCCATTTGTGAGAGGGAAAGGACTCTTTAGATTAGTCTTCTCTCTCTCCTTTCAGCTGCAACCTGAATGTGAACTGAATCTACTTGAATTAAACCAGCTGCCTAGGGAGGTGGCGAGCTCCCCTTCACTGGCAGTTTTTATGCAACAGCTGGACAAACACTTGTTAGGGATGCTCTGGGCTGATCCTGCACTGAGCAGGGGGTTGGACGAGATGGCCTGTATGGCCCCTTCCACCTCTGTGATTCTATGATTCTAAACATAAGTTTACCTTTTTTGCAACATACTTCTTGGCAGGGCTTTTTTTGTAGGAAAAGCCCAGCACGAACTCATTAACATAATAGGCCACACCCAACAGCAGAAACTCATTAGCCTATTACACCACACCCCTGACAACACAACTCATTATCATATTAGGCCACACCCCCATGCTACCAGAAGTGTGGTCATCCAGCCACACCCACCTTTTGCTTCTTATTCTGTTTACCGTGTTTGTTGTCAAAACCCAGGGCTTTTTTTGGAGCAGGAACTCCTTTGCATGTTAGGCCACACACCCCTAATGTAGCCAATCCTAATGAGTTCCTGCTGTTGGGTGTGGCCTATTATGCTAATGAGTTCATGCTGGCCGTGGCCAATTCAGGAGCCAGCTGGAACTCCGTTCCTGTGCGTTCCTGCCGAAAAATAGCCCTGCTTCTTGGGAGATTTATTTACTGCACGCAGTATTATGTTTCTATGCCTGGGCAAAACACTGCTACATTAATCAAATATCCCCATACCCATCACGCCCAGTCCTGTTCCTGGGGTGTCAGTGAAATGGACAGTGCGCAAAAGAAGAAATACTAACCCAGAAGTATAACAATACACAACAAGATTGCAATCAGGGCTCCTGTGCTGAGTCCGACCGGCAGGAAGATGGCCTCCACGTTGCAAGAGAGGATGGTACCATCAGAATCACATCTGCAGACTCGGATCGTCATCGTGTTGGTGCTGCTCTGAATGGGGTAACTGCTGTCTTCTATCACAACCGGGAGGAAATACAACTCTTGCTGCCTCCGGCTGTAGCCACTTCTCCTGGCCACAATGCCAGCGGAGTTATCTGAAAAACAGAAAACCCAGAATTATGATTTGTTTCAAGATTTGGAAATTGCTAACAAACAAACACACACACACAGACAGAGGGAAATTAAGTCTATTCACCTACACAAGACAGAGAAAACGGTGTGGAGCTGGGGAAACCTACTGCACGGTGCCCTCATGCCATACCTTTTGCATTACAAAATGTCACCAGGGAAAGAGGAGGAGGAGACGAGGAGTTGCTGAGTGTTTGCTTTCAGCGAGAGAGCCATTTTGGTGTAGTGGCTAAGTGTGCAGACTCAAATCTGGGAGAACCGGGTTTGATTCCCCACTCCTCCACTTGCAGCTGTTGGATGGCCTTGGGCAAGCCGTAGTTCTGTCAGAGCTGTTCTCTCAAGGACAGTTCTGGAAAGAGCTCTCTCAGCCCCACCTACCTCACAGGGTGTCTGTTGTAGGGCGGGGAAGGGGAAGGAGTTTGTAAGCCGCTCTGAGACTCCGAGTGAAGGGCGGGGTATAAATCCAATCTCTTCTTCTTCTTCTTCTTCTTCTTCTTCTTCTTCTTCTTCTTCTTCTTCTTCTTCTTCTTCTTTGGCAGCCATCATTGTTCCACCATCATTGGGTAGAACTCCTTTGTCCCATTTTTTCCAAAAGTGTCACGATCCATTCAGATGCAACCCAAGACAGATCAAACGCTTTCTGCTGGGCAACTGCAAATCGTTCTGGTTCCTGTACAGTAATCCTGTCCATCTTAACAGTAAATATGTCAAAGTAGACAGAAAGGAGGGGGGGGGACTGGAGGCAGCGGTACTGCCTCCACATTATCTTTCCCCTGTTTTGAATTTCTTGTTTTCCCTGATTCTGCCTCAGCGCCCTTCGACTGCTGTGATTTTCGGTCCATTCTCTCGTGGGAGGGGAACCCTGGCTTTCTTGTTTTGCCGGTTTCCACCAGAGATGCCTGAAGAAGATAGGAAATCTTTCCCAGCCCTGCCCCTGTTCAGAACAGATGATTAATAAAAGTCCGGCCAGAAATCAAACCAGGCCCTTGCCTCCACTTGTCCATTTGCAGGTAATCTGTGATTTCAAGTGAGCTTCTACAAGCAGCAGCCTTTTCCCTCGCTTTCCCAGTAGGAGCGGGGTTATCACGGCTTCCCCCTTCCCCTGAATGAAAGAAATCCAATGAGGAAGAAAATGGATGTAAAGATTAAAAGGATTAAGCAGGGGGAAAGTTTAGAAACCAATTTGCCAGCGGGTCTGAATGGGATTGCCTGCCGTGGTCTCTTCGAGTTTATTATCTCGAGTTCCCACAGCCCCCCTCCCGACATTATGAGGCTCTCTCCCGTGGAGGCGTCGGCTTCTCCCCCTTGGATGCGGCCGCATTCGAACTGAGAGATGAAGCGACACATCCTGCTTTCCTATAGATAAATTTAGTCCCCACCAGAGCCTGTTGGTTGGTGCATATCGGAAGACACGCTTTATTTGAGGGGGAAACCCACGGGAAGATGTGACGGTGTTCTGCACACCTTCTGCAGGTGGACCTGGTTTTCAGTGCTTCTCCCAGAGCTCAGTCAGGGACATCATGTAGACTTCCCTATATTATGACTACCATATGTGGCTGTTTTACATGTGCTTTTAATTCATGTGTGCATCTCTCATTCAACGCTTTGTCTGGGAAACATTAATGAAGTCTGCAGTGATACGTGAGAAGAGAACATACTTAACACAAGAACATAATGTTGGATCAGGCCAAAGGTCCGTCCAGTCCAACACTCTGTATCACACAGTGGCCAGAAATACCAGGTGCCATCAGGAGGTCCACCAGTGGGGCCAGGACATTAGAAGCCCTCCCACTGTTGACCCCCCCCCCAAGCACCAAGATGACAGAGCATCACTTGCCCCAGAGTCCCTATCTATACCTTGTGGCTAATAGCCACTGATGGACCTCTGCTCCATATGCTTATCTAATTCCCTTTTGAAGCCGTCCATGCTCGTAGCTGCCACCACTTCCTGTGGCAGTGAATTCCATGTGTTAATCACTCTTTGGGTGAAGAAGTACTTCCTTTTATCCATTCTAACCCGACTCCGACCGCTCAGCAATTTCATGGAGTGCCCACGAGTTCTTTTTTTACAGACTCCGTTGAAAAGCTCTGCGTCTGAAGTGATCTGGACAGACCCCAAAGTTGATGTACCTCGTTTATACCCCGCCTTTATCCCCAATAGGGAGACACGGGTCTCCTCTCTTCCATTTTATCTTCACAACAGCCCTCTGAGTTAGGCTTGCCACACTCCAGGCGGGGGCTGGGGATCTCCTGAAATGACAACTGATCTCTAGGCGACAGGCATCACTTATTACTTATTTATTTAAAACATTTATTCCACTTCTCCTGGAGAAAACGGCTGCTTTGGAAGGCGGACTGCGGGGCACGATACCCTGCCAGGGTCCCTTCCCTTCCTAAACCCCCTACTCCCCCAGGCCGCACCCTCAAATCTCCATGTATTTCTGAAGTTGGCAACCCTATCCAAGGTTGGTTAGGCTGAGAGCATGTGGCTGGCCCATAGTCACCCAGCCAGCTTCCTTGGCAGAGTGGGGATTCGAACTTGGATGCCTCTGAACCTAATCCAGCACTCTAACCACTACAGTACATGGGCTCTCATACAGTCCACGGGGTTCTATTTGTGAAGGCCCATATTCATTTGTTTAACCTGCTTTTCTCCCTGATGGGAACCAAAAGGAACTTGAAACACCATTCTCATCTCCTTCATCTTATCCTCACAATGAGACCCCCGTGAGGAAGGCTAGGCAGAGAGAGAGAGAGAGGGAGGGAGGGAGGGAGGGAGGGAGAGAAAGGGAGAGAGAGGGAGGGAGGGAGGAGGGATGGAATAAAGAGACAGAGGGAGGGAGGGAGGGAAGGAAGGAAGGAAGGAAGGAAGGAAGGAAGGAAGGAAGGAAGGGAGGGAGGAAGGA